TTATTAACTTTTTTCTTTTTCCACTGAAGTAAAACCACTTGGCTCACAGCAACTTCTTCACAAGAACCTCAGTAACACAAATTACAGTGAAATGATGATAAAGACAATTTAGCAGACATGGATGTAATAAAATATCAAACAATAAACAAATTTATTCATAGAAACAAACACCGGTTGATGAGAGCAAATTAACTCTGAGTGCTTAACAGAAAGTCTCTGAGTTGTCATGTTCATGTCAGAGAGCCCTGAGGAACACCACGCCTCCTGGCAGAGAGGAGTCGTTCTCATGGAGCCGCTCCAGAAAATGATTGGTCAGAAAAATGATCCGCACACACGAGGTTGAAAACAGACTCATACTTCTTCTGACCATTCACACACCAAACCTGTAGACTCATCAAAAATACTTTTTTTTTTTTAATTATTATTAAAATAGAAATCCTAAACACATTGTAGATGACCTTCAATCTGAACTTTAAACAACAGATAAGTGTTCGCACACACACATAAACACTACAAAGCTTGGTTTTCCATCAAACCTCAGATCCTCGTATATATTTCCGCCCATTAAGAGAATATTACCAACAACCAAGTCTAACTGCGATTACTAAAACACGAACAAAATCAGCCCTGCAAGGATAAAAACTTCATATCAGCGTTCTTCATCTCCTCCATGCAGCCCCAGACTGCCTCTTGCATGGGAATAAACCTTCCAATGTCCCTAAAGTATCTTATTGTCATTCCGAATCAATCCTCAGAATCATAAACAATCTCGCAACTTTTTCACGATTATTATTCAGCTCCATCTGCTTATTCAGTTCCCAGAAGGCATTGCCTTTTAGACGCTTCCTCTCGATGCCGGGAAAACAAACAACGATGGAAGGTGGAAAACAAAACAAAACAAAGTCTCCTGAAATACCTTGTGGATGCCCAGAGGAAGGCGCTGGACAGACAGATGAGCAGATAGGTTCCCTCTGTCCTCCTCTCTCAGGCTGCCTCCTCTCTCGGCGTGCTGTGGAGAGTGACTGCTCACAGCCCGCCTGGCATATCTAATTAGAGCCAGGCTGTTGCCACTATCGGGCAGAGGATCTACCTCTCCAATCTCTCCTGACTCAATCTTCCCCATCTCTGATTTTCTTTTATATTTATGCTGGAATATTTAATTGTAGACAAAAGGTTACTCTGGGCTCTATTCATCACACACAGGCAGAATAATCTCCTTTAAAAGGCTTGACATTTCAGGCTTTTCAAAAGGGGCTGAAAAAAATTATATCCCCGCTTTTGTTAATCAATGAAGTAGAACTCCCCCGAACAAAAGAATTAAATTGCTTGGTTGGGTTAATAAAACACACAGAAATAGCTGCTTCCTGTGGGCTTTTGTGCCTGCCACTGGCTCCCCCACATATGCAACCAGCACTGTAATTCCATATGATTTGAGAAGCAAAAACTCTTCTTTCTCCACACAGTTGGCTCTTTAAATCCTATTGAGTGTGCAGCCTGTGAGGCTGGCTGGCTGATTGGGATCTTATGCTGGAGCCTGGCTGCCTGGCTAGTAATGCAGACTCTCTCCATTTAAGTCTGACTTCCACCAAGAGGAGACAGCGAGTCCACTACAATTTACAATTTCTATACTGCCTCAGAAAAACATTGTAATTATGCAAATGATAGGGGTAATAATTAGGCCCTTAGCTGTCTCATTGTGTCAGCTGCCGTTGTGTTTCAGTCCGATGGTAGGAGAAACGCAGCAGGACATGTTCTGGTTTGAACTGCTCCTCACAGACAGTCTGCAGATGTGCACATTATCGTCATGACCCCAGTGCAGGGAGCCTCTGTAAAAAAAAACTATGCAAAGGCAGACAGTTTAGATGCATGCCATGCCAGCAGAGGCCTGTTGGTATGTGATGCACACTCCTGTAATCTACACACTGCTTTACAACAAAACTCTGCCTGCACGATAATGTAAGTCCATTAACTGGATTCTATAATTTGTTGGGAATGTCCACCTTTGGTAAATACATTCTTTAAAATTTCCCCTGGCCTTAAGTTAAAAATGATCACTTGGCCCATCCATCCATCCATCCATCCATCCATCCATTATCTTTACCTGCTTATTCCATTTTGGGTCACAGGGGTCGCTGGTGCCCATGTCCAGCAATCACTGTGGGGCCGGGTACACCCTGGACGGGTCGCAAGTCCATCACAGGGACACATAGAGACAAACGAGACAAACAACCATTCACACCTAGGGACAATTTAGAGTTACCAATCAGCCTAACATGCATGTTTTTGGTCTGTGGGAGGAAACCGGAGCACCCGGAGAAAACCCACGCATGCACGAAGAGAACATGCAAACTCCACCCAGAAAGGCCCCTGGACCGGGGTTTGAACCAGGGACCTGTGCGCTGAGAGGCAGCAGCTCTACCAGTTGTGCCACCGTGCTGCCTCACTTGGCCCAATATAACCAAAAAAAAAAAAAAAGACTGACTCAAAAACTCACTGTAGATGAGACTAGATTCAGTTTAGTGTGAAAACATAGAGTTGCAGTTCAAACCACAGTTCCCATATCAATTTAGACTTAAATTTGAAAAGCTTTAAGCTACAAACTTCTGTCAGAGTTCAAGACAGCTGAAGAATAAATGAGAGATTGGTTGTCTGATCACTGGAGATATCAAAGGCAGAGAAACTCTCTTAGTTTATAAAAACACAAAGTTTGTTTTCTCAGTCATCCAGGTATATAACAACAAAAAAGGTTGACATGATTCAACCTTTTTTGTTGTTATATACCTGGATGACTGAGAAAACAAACTTTGTGTTTTTGAAACCATTAGTGAAAAGGCCAGACTTCAGGGGTATCTGAGGCAGGCTTGGAACACAAGAGTCAGGGTGGCTTCTGGGTAATACCAGATGGCTAGGCCTCAGACCGACGAAGCCTCTTGGATGAGGGGCGAAACGTTTCTTTTTAACAAAAAAACGAAGTCCAGATGACATGATTCAACCTTTTTTGTTCTCTTAGTCTATGTGGTTTGCAAAACTGTTTTCAAAGTCTTTTTATGAAATGAATGTATGACACATAAACTATTAGGACGAAGCTGAATGACATTCATTTGAATGGTTGCATAGTTGTCATCTGAATATAAATTACACATGTAGAAGAATACAATAACAAATAAGATAGAACTTTATTGATTCTGCAGGAATTTGTTGTGCCACAGTTTCAGTACAAAGGAACATACACAAGGAATCACACAAGATATAGAAAATAAGAGTGAATATCCAAAATAACAGAGAATATAAAAATAGCAACAATTAAGCTCCAAAATACAGTAGGTCAGGTGCAGACAGAAACATTAAAGTGTTTCTTGTAGTGCAGGATTAATTTTATTGTCCTGTGTGCAGAAAGGAGGAGGAGTTGAAAAGTTTGAAGGACTTCCTGTGTTGTTCTGTGGAGCATCTCGGTGGTCTCGGTCTACGACTGAAGGTGCTGCGGTGAGAGTCCAGGGTGTCATGCAGGGGGTGTGACGTCTTGTTCAGGATCTGGAGCAGTTTCCTCTGCATCCTCTGCTCAGACACCTCTATCAGAGACTGCTGGTCCACACCCAGAACTGAGAAAGTTCTCTTGATGAGCTTTCTGAGTCTGTTAGCAGCAGCTTTCTTCACCCTGCTGCCCCAGCACACCACAGCATAGAAGAAGACGCTGGAGACCACCGAGTGGTAAAACATCTGCAGCATGGTTCTGCAAACGTTAAAGGACCTGTGTCTCCTCAGAAGAAAAAGGTGACGCTGCCTCTTCTTGTAGAGGGCGTTGGTGTTAGCTGTCCCATTTTTTTGTCTAGGTGGACCCCCAGGTACTCGTAGCAGTCCACAGTGTCCAACTTAGTACCCTTGATGTTGATAGGGTTGTGTGTGTGTGTGTGTGTGTGTGTGGGGGGGGGGGGGGGTGATCTTCTTCCTGTAGTCCACCTGCAGCTCTTTAGTTTTTCCAACGTTGAGTTGCAGGTGGTTTTGTCCACCACACGTCTGTATTCAGCTTCCTGGTCACCAGTGATGCAGCCCACAATGGCAGAGTCATCCGAGAACTTCTGCAGATGCAGGATTGGGAGTTGTACCAGAAGTCTGAGGTGTAAAGGGTAAACAGAAACGGCGAGAGGACTGTCCTCTGAGGAGCCCCTGTGCTGCTCAATATGGTGTCCGAGGTGGTGTTCTGCAGCCTCACATACTGTGACCAACCTGTGAGGTAGGCTCCGATCCAGGTGAGTCATTCACCTGCATGCCCAGGAGCTTGCAGCAGAGTAGAGCAGGTCTTATGGTGTTAAAAGAACTGGAAAAATCAAAGAACATGACTTTTACAGTGCTGCCTGCCCTGTCCAGGTGTGTGTAGGCTCTGTGCAGCAGGTAGAGGATGGAGTCATCAACTCTAACGCGTGGCTGGTATACGAACTGTAGGAGGTCCAAGTATGGTTCCATCACTGATCTGACGTGCTAAGGACCAGCCTCTCTAGTGACTTCATGGCAGGCCAACATCAACAACAACAAAACATTATAAAGAGGTGCAAAAAGTAAAATATTTAAATTACTGAGTCATAATGATAAGACACTAATAAAAAATGAGATTCTAAAAATTACATGAAACACTAAGTGAAAACTTTGGTTGTTAGTCAAAGGTTAAAATGCTGAGATTAGTATAGAAAATACTAATTGAACTTTTTCAAATTCTAAGCAATTATTTTGTTAATGAAGGACAAATACAGTAACACAAAGTTTAAAAAAAAATCGTTATATGCTAAGTTAAAAGGAATTGTTCAGATACCTCATGAATCGTTGTTGTCCACTGTTGTCATCAGTCTTTGTTAAAATCCAGGCCTCTCTTGTAAATGAGTCCACGTGGCTCAATGAGATTAACCTGTTTAAGTAAAGGTTGAATAAATACTGTACACGGGCAGTTGGAATCCACTCTCCTCCGGGCTGCCGTAGTTTTGTGACGGGAGTTGGAATTTTACGACACTTCTCCTCGTTTCCGACATAAACATATAGAACCCTAGAGCTGCGTTACAGGAGGTCAAAACTTACGGTCCTGTTTTGTAAAGCTAACGGAATATAATACAGAGACATGGTAAGTCGGACCTGTTATTTAGTAATAGTTGGGTCGAGTATTAAAAACATATCTGCGCGCTCAAACGTGGGTCATAAAAACTTGAAACGAATTCATTTTTAACGGCTAAGCTAACGTTAGCTTGTTGTAGATGCTCCTGTGTGACTTCTAACAGGACAAACCAAGCTGTTTTTTAATTTTTATTAATGCTTAGTTTGAACCGCCACGATCAAATGGTTGTATTATAGAATATGACTAATAAAATGTCGATCTAAATGCACTGATACGGATTCTTAAATTATTTGTTTACATTTCTCAGCAAAAAAAATATGTGATACATTATACGATTATCTATCGTTTTCATTACGTTTTTACATGCTTGTTTGTTTTTTGACAGGCCAGCACCTTGGTGGCAGTGGGACTGACGCTGGCAGCAGCTGGTTTTGCAGGTGAGAGCTTATGAAAAATCTCTTTGAAACAAGATTACCAACAGACAAGATGCTGGTCATTCATCCACCTACTTTTCATTTACAGTACACCATTCAGTAAAGGGTGTCAGCAAATGTCAAAGGAAAAGTTTACAAGACAGTGGTGAGACCAGCTATGTTGTATGGTCTGGAGACAGTGGCATTGCCAAAAAGACAGGAGAAAGACCTGGAAGTGGCAGAAATTAAGATGCTACTGTTCTCTTTAGGAGCGACAAGGCTGGATAAGATTAGGAATGAGATAATCAGAGGTACAGCACAGGTTGAACAACTGGGAGATAAAGTTAGAGAGGCCAGACTGATATGGTTTGGACATGTCAAGAGGAGGGACAGTGGGTATATTGGAAGAAGGATGTTAGAAATGCAGCTGCCAGGAAAAAGACAAAGAGGAGATATATGGATGCAGTTAGAGAGGACATGGAGGTAGTTGGAGTGAGGACAGAGGATGCAGAGGACAGAGTGAGGTGGAGGAGGATGACTCGCTGTGGCGACCCCTGAAGAGGGAAAAGCCGAAAGAAGAAGATTCAGTAAACTGAGTAGTAAGTAGAAAAGCCACTTTAAATAAGACAAACATGTCAGCCAGAAGGTTGCATTTTCAATGATGTGGGTGCCACATTGGTCCTTAAGACCCCACCAACACCTTCAGCTTCTGTGGATGAAGAGCAGCCTAACAGAGCAAAGTGAAATTCAATTAAATTTTGATCACTTTATTATTTCAGAGGAGCAGTTTGAAGGCACAAAAAGCAGCTACACACACACACAAAAGATAAGCAAGGTCACTGCCTACTGCATACTCACTTCATCCCTATGAATCTAAAATGTCAAGTTAGAAAATTACATGGTTAAAAACACTTTAAAAGCAAAAATGTCAATATTAAGATAATATAAATATTCATCAATGAAATGACCAATGACCGTGTACTTGTTTGATTGAATGTAAAGCTACATAATATGGGGAAGAGTGAAGGGGCTTGACAACTTAAGAGACAAAAGTTCCCCTCTTGGATAATGTAGTCACTTAAATAATTTAATTAACAATTGAAGAATTTGATTTAAAAAAAAAAACAGTTTTTGAAACAGTTTGATTTTGAGTTTCTCAGGAGATTCACAAAATCCCAGCCCGAACAGAATCCAGCTTGCCGAGCTTCATTTGGCACCAACACAGAAATGACTGAACTAATCAGCATCCAAGAAATTAGCCAGAGGTGGCATTTAGCAGCTTGTATTCCGTCATTGGCTCAGTTGACCTACGCCCTCATGAATGGTTAATGTTAATTTATGAAGTGGTGTTTTTAAGTCCTTTTTACCTCCAACTTTATTTATAAAGGACTTTTAATAAATTATTGTGAGTTAGACAAGGTTACAGATTTAAGGGTTCTCACTTTTCCAGCTATTTGTTTTAAAAGCATTTAGTTTAAAAAATAATCTCATTAAATGTTAAAGAAAACACCTTTACACTATTTTTAAATGATTTCTCATTGTCCAGATGACCTGTATCAGCTAGCTTTACTTACCTGTGTTCTAAACAAAAATATTTAAGAGATAAATGTAGAAATATTAACTGAGTTTGTGTTGGTTTACTTTCTAAATCTTCACCCACAATGTTTTTTTGTTTGGTTTTTTTGTCCACCAGGCCGTTATGCCATGCAGGCCATGAAACAGATGAAACCTCATATGAAACAGGCCTTACAGAGTTTGCCCAATACGGTAAGGAGGGAAAGCTGTGATTCGTCTTTAAAGCTCACAAGAATAACAGATACTGCATATTCTGATCTTTACGTTTAGTCAGCGTTTCCTATATCTAACTTCTTTTCACCTGCACATGCCGTTACAGGCTTTTGGAGGAGGGTACTATAGGGGAGGTTTTGAAACAAAGATGACAAAAAGAGAAGCTGCTCTTATTTTAGGTGTCAGGTATGTAAACGCAACTTTCAGCCTTTCCTGTACCTCTTGAGGAGCCCGTTTCTTTTGTCAAGTCTATCAAAGATGTGCTGCTGAACATCCAGTCTGACGTGCAGTATCAGTATAAAGCTGCTTTTGTGCAGCATTTTGTCTCGGTAGCCCAAGTCCAAACAGTTCACAGACAATCAGAAAAACAGATTCTTAAATTATCTTCTATCTTTCTGTTTAGTCCCACAGCCAACAAGATCAAGATTAGGGAGGCCCACAGAAAACTGATGATCCTGAACCATCCAGACAGAGGTAAGGTGAACCTTCCTCGTCATTGCTGTATTAGTTTATAGACGGTGTACTTTTCTCCTAAGTTTCTTTCTTGTAAATGTAAAAAAAAAAAAACACACACAACTTGAACTTTATAAGTTGAAATTGATTTTCATTAGCCCAAAATCCAGATAGACTTTATTTATAGTATTTTCTCGTTAAATATCCATTTTCTTTTATATTTTAAAAATTACTCCAAACAATACTTGATAGATCAGTTTATGACTAAAAATAAGGCTTCAATCGAATTATTCAGTATTTAAGTCACTTCAATGGTTTTATTTGGCAATAGAAAATGTATATACTGGTACCTAGACATGTCTCCTTTCAACTATTAAGGATGAGAGGAGTAAATCTGACAGCTACACTGTTTTAGTCAAGTAAATTGAAATGTTTTGTAAGTAGATTTGTCATAAAACCATTAACTGCTCGATGACAAAAAATTCTGAGCATTTTGTTTGTATTTGGTCCCACAGGAGGATCTCCATACATGGCAGCAAAAATAAATGAAGCAAAGGACCTAATGGACGTCCAGGCCAAGAAATAAAACTGAAGATGTTAAAAATAAACGATTTATTCATGAAGATTTACTGGCCGAGGCAAGCACTTGATTTTTCCAATTAAATAAAATACATAAGCTACAGTTTTAGCTCAACCGTTTATTTTTCTAAGTTTAAATTTGATTGTTGCAAAAAGTTTTTCCTTAGCCATCTGCATTTATATTCAGAGTCTTCTCAAACGGTCTCTTAAACCTGGTTTGGAAATGTTGGAAAATTATGTACCGGTAATTAACACTGCTTTATATTATAACTTTAATGTAACTTTAACGTTTGCCAAAATGGAAATCTGCCCAAATTTCGTTGTATTTAGGTGCAATGACAATAAAGTTCTATTCTATTCTTAGTTCCATAATTATTTGGCAAAATGAAAAATACCAAGTCTAGTAAAAGTTGAAGCATGATTAGGCTTTTTTTTTATTTTTTATGATAGTCTTGTACGCATCAAGATCTTGTATCTACTGATTTGGAAAATCTTTTTTTTTTCTACACGTTAAATAAATCAGACATTTGGTTTTCGATCTACATGGAAGATCAAGTTTATTTAAGAACTACCTGCATACAAAACATATTGCACATCAACCAACCAGACAATCCTTAAAAAAAATACAACAAACTGTAGTTGACCCAACAAAAACACTTGGGATGTCACAACTGTCAGTAGTCCAATTTCTAATTTGCCTTAAAGAGAACTCCTGGATATCTTGTTTTAGTGTCAAGAAAAAGAAGTGTTTTAAATACTGTACACTTTTTTTAAAATAAATAATCCAAATAAATCTCCTTCCTTAAAAGAACAGTCATGACCAGTTTCCAGCTAGCCAGTGTGGAAGAACCATGAAAATGACATCATTTCCTGGGCCTGCTTTTCTGAAACATCTCAACACCAGGAAGTCCAGTTCTTTACAGGATTTTTGCTGCTTGGGACACTTAGAAGTATATTAATCCAAAAGACTGAGCAAAGGTGCCCCAAGTTATTTAATTGAATATCTGAAAAAGTTCTCAGCTCAATGTTCCCCACCGTTCAGTAATGAGATGTTTAAGACCCAGCACTGATGGCTACACACCTGCCCAGCACTAAACCACAACAGGCCAGTTTTCAGACTCAACTACAATCAGCTTGAACAGAAAAAGGTTACGCTTCAGTGCAAACAAAACAACTCTTCTCATTTCTTTTCCAGCCACACTGTAATAACGTTTCCTATGATCGAAGTGGTTGCATATTAAAAAACAGGAAGCAGCTAATGTCAAACCCTTTAACAGCTTTATATATATATATATATGTATAAAGGATATTTGAACCCCCCCAACATTAAGAGCAGACGCACCTGAATTTTAGAAGATGGCTCTTAAAAGCCTTTAGAGCATTCTGAGTGTTTGCGTTCCCCTGCCTGCAGCACTGTAAGAGAACATTTAGCACATGAAGACACTTTATCGGGGCTGACTGGCAGAAGGTCAACGAGTCACCCAGAAATATGTTAAAGGATTTCAGATGGAGTGCAGAGCCAGGCAGCAACATGTTCAATCTACTCTCAAGGCACAATGTATGTTTCCAACTAACTTATCTGTATCTGCACCGTGGTGCAGTTCATGCAGAACAATGACTTTTCAAACGATCTCCGATGCATGAAACAAATCGGGAGACAAAATAAAAAGTTTGGAAGCATTTTTGCTGAGTCTACCTGATAAAAGGCAGACATCATTCTGGAAACCTGCCATGATATTCTGAACCATATAAAAACAACTACTGCATTAATACCACAGTATGTTTGAATGAAGCCCCCGTCTGCATTTTTACAAATACTGTCATTCAGCCCAACCTCTCGTTGAGCTCTCAATGAAGAGCGGACCCAAAAGTAGTTTGTGTACATGTATGTAAGTCTGACTATCTTTGGCAAGATTATACCGGAAGAACTATAGTGAGAGGAAAAAAAGTCAAATGAATAGTTGAACAGATAAACATGTATATAGGAGATAAAGTTTCAAGACTGTAAAATTTGTGCTGCAGAGCAGGTTTCAAATATTTGTTACGTAGAAAAAGAACAGTGCTTGTGTTTAAATGTTAAGAAAAACGTTTGATGCTTCTCCAGAGACGTGGAGATTCAATCAAGTGTCACCAAAGACATCCAAATATTTGAAACCAGTTTCTAAGCCCTGGTCTGGTTAGGGCAGTCCATTAACGACAGGCGGCGGGCCCGAGACTTCGGCGGGCTTGTCGGGAGAAGACCTGGGAGCTTTAGAGGCACCGTTGCCTGAGCTGTCAGAAACCCCATTATTAGAACCATTGGTAGCTGGAGGAGCAGACTGTGGACTGTTTTCATCAATCGCTTCCACCTGACCCTGAACACACAGAAGGAAGAAAGAGTAAAAACTGGAATTAAAAAAAGGCATAAAAGGGAAACAAGTCTGCGTCTGTACTTGACTGTAGAAAAATCCCATCCAATAAATCAGAACCAAATATACTTGTGTTCCAGAAAAAAAAAAAAAAAATCTATATAAAGATGATTTGCTGTGTTTACATGTAGCATTTAGGTACTGACCACATCTTTGTTCTTCTTGGTGTCCTTGGCCATGATCTGTCTGCTCTGAGATTCAGCCCTGGACATGTAGTCAGCCACACTCACTGCACAAATATAGAAACAGAAAACAAAGCCTTCGGTAAAATAACACGGCACAAACCTTGTACTAACACACTTTTAATAGATCATTAGTAATGAAAAATGCTCGGCAGATCTGGTTTTTCAGTGTGTGTGAATGACTAGAACAAAATGAAACGGTGGAACTTGCAAGGTTAGACATTTTCAAACCTGCGTACATGTCCACAAAAAAAATGGAAGTGTTTGTCAGAATATATAAAACTGCAAAAAAGTTCTGTTAAAAGTATATTAGACTTGCAAAAAAAGGTTATAGTCAAGTTTTTATAAATGGAAGACAAACTCAGATTGCAGCTCTTGTAAATGACAATGTAACTGACATATTTAAGCTAAGTAGTTAGTTAATAAAAGTTTTCTGTCCATAAACGCTGTATAAAGAAAGAAGATCCATATTGACTATATGCATATGTGTTTATTTTGTTAGAAACTCTTGTACAGCATTAGGATAACATTTCCCATTGCAGTAAAAATCCACAGATAAAAAATAAAACAAGCAGCATGCATGCTGGTTAGTTCTCGATTTGTTTTTTGGGAGTTTTTTTGGGTTTTTTTGTATTTTTTGGGGCCACACAAACATCACGAGGAAAGGTGCACAACTTCTAAGCTGAGCCACTGAAGCAATGACCACACGAGCAGGTGATGTTGGTTACCTGGCTGCCTCTCCTCTGGCAGGCGGTTTCGACGACGCCGGCTACGATTGCGGCGCTGAGGTTTTACTTCAGAGTGCTCTAGGAATGTTAGGTTGTCACAAACAGAAGGATGGGTGCCTTCAGTATCCTTTTGTCTTTAAACTGCAGTCACTACTTTTTACTTTGAAATGGGAAACGGTGCACAGCAGCACAATCCTGACAACGTTTTACTTTGTTGGGATGTGAAAGTCATGTACAATTATTTATTTCTGTTTCAACCATCATGGCACTGTTTGTTTTGAAGCTTTTTTAAAGTTCTCTTTAAAGGTTTACTTTTATTACCACTTGCAAGTACAGAGAAGCAAACTATTTTTACATTGGTTGTACAACTATTTAAATTGCAACAACAGGAACTTGTCTCCATCTACTTACAACTTCAAGTTTTGTGTGTAAATTGCTAATGAATGTAAAACAGAATTACACAACAATTTGTGCTTCATACCTATCCCATTTTCGCTCACTGAGGCGTTGTCAGACTCGCTCATGCCATCTATCAGTGTAGCATCCTCATCCGTTCTGCGTCTTCGTGACCTTCGGCGGCGGTTGGCTGGCAAGTTGGACTCACTAGCATCTGTATCAGCTGTCTGGTCTGTCTCAGTGTTTGCCTCTAAAGTTCCATAAGAGTGGTAGTTCTCATGATCCCGAGGGGCTGCAGCAAAATGACATTAACATTCAGAGGCAGCAGGTTGTGATTCGATGAGATGATGCCATCTGACTTCTCTTTACGTTAACAATTCTTATACAGTAGTCCCTCGCTACTTCGCTTATTGCAAACTCGCTCCATCGCAGTTTTTCAAAATAAGATTGGATGTGACACACAACTGGCTGATTAAAATGATCTGCATGGATTTTTTATTCAAAATAAATTTTTAATTATTTAGCACCTGCTGCACATTTGTGCAGCCCTGAGCTGCAGAAAAAGCTTCCTCTTGCACCTCTGTGCAGTTCATACAACAGGATAAAATTCCTGCTGCAGCTAATCAGCTGATCTCATGCAGAGAAGTGGGCGTGGCCAATAACGCTTGCAGGTGGCAAAGAGCAGACAAGGTAGGGAGCTGAAATCATGACATTCTGTGCTCTTTTAGAGCGTTTAGAGTTTAGAAACATTGTTTAGAATTTTGCAAGAGTGTGGGAAGGGTTTAAAACGCCTTACTATATATATATATATATATATACTAAAATAAACTACTACTTACTACTTGTAGTACTATTCCTATATCGCAGTTTTTCCATTTATCGCGGGGCTTGAGGGTATGGATTCCCCCCCCCGCGATAAACGAGGGACTACTGTAAAGTGAATTGTACCATAACTGTTGCTGTATCCTCTTCCTCCTCGACCCCTTCCAGGTCCTCCTCGCCCTCTGCCGGGTCCTGGTCTTCTGCGACTATCTCTTTGTGGTGTAGGTCCCCTCTCTTTTTTCCTGAAAGCCCAATAAAGCAAATAAAACTGAGCCTTTAGAAAACATCCTGCAATAGCTTCAACAATTACTGTAAAGACTTGTTTCATCACATAAACTACACATTTTTGCAGCTTTATAAGTTTAAACATAGAAAGCAGCTCACCCATCCTGGTCCTCTCCAGCCAGGGACCAATCGCTGAGCTCCTCTTTACGCTCTGAATCAGTCTCAGAGGCGTTTGACTGCTCTGAGTTGGTGCCTGAATATAAAAAACAAACGTGCATACAAAAATGAACAAAGACAAAAAATTAGCAGAATATGTTATTTTGCAAAAGTAGCACATTTTGGAGTATATGGCAATATGCAAGTTGAATTTATGTAAGCTTATGTTTAAAATTTGCTACCATATCCAGTATTGTAGTTATAGCCTCTGCGCCCACGACCTCGACCATTGTAGGAGCGACTTCCACCACTGGAAGAAGAGGTGGCATTGGCGCCGTTGTCTGTATTGTATGCTCCTCTCTCTCCCCTATCTCCACGCTCCCTGTCAACTGGTCGGTGACCCTGGGTGATCTGCCGCAGCTGTTCATCAATTTGCAGCCGCTCGAGACGAAGCTGCTCCACCTCCTTAGAGAGAACAAACAGAACAAGGAGAAAATGAAGAGATAAGAGACGTGTGAGCGATTCACATTTTCAGGCTTTAAAAAAAAAAAAAAAAAATCTGTCAAAGCTGACGTTTTGAAGGTCATCACTGGATACACATGCATAGATATTATACATCTACATCACATCCAGAGCACCTTGTGCTGTTTATTCTGCTTCCCTGCATATAATCCACAATTTGCCTCAGCTCTTCCTCTAGCTGCTGGCTCTCTATAAGAAGCTCCACCATGTCCTACATACATTGCAAAGCAAACACGAAGCAGAACTGCTGAACAAAACAAGTAAACAGCACAGGTCACACATGTACATAGAGTGCAACAACACACAGCAGAGCAGCACAAGGTTAGTTATGAAAAGCATTACATAAATTAGTAATTAAGTTATTTATTACTATTACATTAGGAAAACAGTACACTTTCTGTTAAGAATGATTCTACTACTAAACCTGATCATAGCACAAACTTAAAACCATGTTGCTTTAGCAGTGATTCCAGTGAGCAAAGAAATGCCTGATAAACTTTGTATAAGCAAACCTGATCAAAGAAGAAGCATTTAAGGCAACCAAAGAAATCTCTTATTTGACTATGGAATTCAGTAAAGAAATGATTCCCCAAAACAAACAAACATGCACTTAAAACAAGCCCAATTCAACATAAACTTTGGGGTCTTACATTCAGGTAAGAAATGTGGTACTCCAACAAGACCTGAACGTTGCCAATGCTCTCCTTAGTACCGACAAAGGTGAATGGGACCATTCCCTGCGTCAACAAAACATAAATCCACAGCATGCATGTTAGTACGAGACTGTTGACAAATTATACATAATCTGAAAAAAGGTTTTCCTTTAACTACTAAATGCTTTAAGGTTTGCGTTATGAAAAAAGTGAGCATGTTGCAGTAGCAGGCTTACCTCTTGTCTGGGCTGTTTGTTGTCATTGTCTCCTTCTATTTTGACTCTCACCACACCAGACTTGTCCACAATTTCCTGGATGACCTTACCATTCTTACCAATGACTTTGCCTAGAGACATTGGATAGACAGATGTGTTGGAATGCAGAGGCATGTGAAGTAAAAAAAACAACAACAACAAAAACACCTGAAAGCTAAAGAAAATAACCTCAGTAGATAAATATTCTACCATTTTAATAGTTTTATTTACTATAATATATTTATTTTTTCCATGGTACAATGAATGTGGCAACAGTCACGACCTCACAAAACACAAACATACCAACGAGGTTCCTTGGCACCTGGACAGAATCTTCCACAAATTCCAAGTAGTTCCTGGCCTTCTTTACCGCCTCCTCTGTCTAAACAAAATCATGTGTAATCCAACATAACATTAAATATGCACATAAAAAGGTGCACTTAAACAAATATAAATCAAAATGTATCTATGAAGTACACAGTGGTGGAAGTTGTGTGTCACTGTAAAAAAACAGCACATATAAACACACATAAATATATGAATTACCCTAATCAAAACTGAAAAGTAAAATAACTGTTAGGGCAAAAATTTAATCTATTTATCAAAGGTATTTTTTCTTGTATTAACACATTCTTTTATGAAAACAGGAAATTTTGCAAACTCAGTAATTTTAAGCCATACTTAGCCTAACCATAGAAAACGGTTAATTTGTTACAGCGCCAGCTGTGAACTTTCCCCGTGCTCACATTTGAATTGTCCATTTAATGTAAATTAATTAAATGTGAATAGATTTGCAAGAACAAATAGTTTTTGGACTTTTTGTAGCTATATGCACCTGAGCTTTTGATTTTGGTGCATTTGTTTGCTCGTGTTTCTTTGTGAGCATCACACACTGCCCTACCTCTCCATAAATCCTGAAAGTTCCCGTCTCCTCGTCCAATTCAATGGCGGTGACACCTGGAACTCTGCGTGCTTGTTGGATGTTGCTACCATGGCTGCCGATGGCCAGGCCCATCAGATCTAGTCTAACTGTAAACTCTTGTTGGAAGGAGGAGACCAGTTGTCTGGAGGTCTACAACAATCAAAACAAGAAACACTTTTATTCATTAATTAAATTCTTTTCCAAAATACAACACAATAAGTCAACATTCCAATAAGTCTCTTATGTACCAGTATGTGTTTCGTGGCATCTCAGTACAGCACATTTACCAAAAGATTTTCCATTGTCCTGTTCTGATGATAATATTTATTATGTTTGCTACAGTAAAATATTGAAAATATAAAATCTTGTTACTGACCTCCAGATGTTTAGTGGCCTCCTGGTTGCGTGACATTAACATCAGCTTGGTTTTGAGGCTGCGCAGGTGCATGTCACTCAGCAAAGACACACGCTTCACTGTTGTGTCATTGGTGGACTTGACACACACACAAACACACAATTAAAATAATTACACAAATATGGAGCGTGCATTGTTGAGTCACCCTCTGCACAAATATAAGGTGTATTAGAAATATCCAGATATCACCAGGAGATTTCAGCAAGCTATAGTTACCACAATCACTAGTTCGCTGGTCTCTGGGCAGTATGAGATGCGGCAGGCTCCCACAGCCTTCTTGAATTCTTTATGTGCATTCTCATTCTGACACCTAAAACGGGGGGAAATGATTGCTAAAGTAAAATCAAAAGAACAACACCTGTTTTTACTTTTCTACTATGGATCATTTTGATAGTGATAAAACATACGCTTCCTGTAGCTCCTGAGGAACAGGGACAGTGCATTTGTGAAAGGTGTTCTTGGTAACAGCCTTGTTGGTGTTGACTGGTCGCAGACGCTCAAAGGTTACTATTTCATTGTAAGTGGCATCACAGGCTGCGTACTCAATCACATAGAACTGGAAAAAAGGTTGAGTAGGTTGAGTTAATACAACTTGTATAAAAGGCATTTTATACATAAATTGGATTATAATGAAGCAAGCAGATTTAAGAGGATTGTTAAATGAAATGTTTCTGAAAGAAGACGATTTTTTATTTATAGGATTGTATAGTTTTGAAGATTAACACTAATCAGAACAATACTCACATCTCCTTTCATCATGCGGACTTTAGCTAACCACCATCCACAAGGCTCCTGTTCATTAGCTCTGGAAAATATCTACCAGGATATTAAAAAAAAGTAAGAGTAGGGTTTAAACAAAAAGGAACAAGAGAGAACAACAATAACACGTTGAAAGTCTTTATGTGTCTGCCTCACCTCCACCTCCTCGCCCTCTCCAATGTCCTTTTTAGCATCAGCAGGTGGTGGTAATCTGACATCACTGAAGGGCACCTGGCGTTCTGGCTGCCAACTAAAATACAATACTCTGTCATACTTTATTTAAAATTAATGTGTAATGGTACATTTGTCTTTTGGATTTGAGAAGTTGACAAGTAAAAAAACAAAAGCTTACTTGTTCTCAAAGGCAATGGTGAGAGAGTCATCGTGGATATCTTTGATAAAGCCCTGCAGGACAGACAAAAGGACAAAAAGATATTTTTTTCTGAAATACTGAAATTCAGTGATTTTTTTTTTTTTTTTCAACTGGGTCCCCGTTTTGTTGAGCTCTTACACAAATGCACTCACACGTGCACACTTCAGCCAGCAGTTTCCCCACTTGCTCAGAGTTCGACACCGGGCAGTAACATGTCAAAGCAGGCATCTAACCACTGATCTTCCTCTAAGTAAAGTACAGCCACAGTAACTAGAACATTGTTCTCAAATGTTCATGTTCTATTTTATTATAGATATTTTGAGCATGGACTTTGTTATGTTCTATTTTAGTTTTTTTATTCTATTATTTTTGCTTGGCAAGAACAGATATTTTTGAATTGTGAGAAATGAAAATCTTACATATCTGAAATATTTAAATCACAAACATAATGATGAGCTCTTTTTAATGGGAGACTGCGATGAAGTGAAAACTCAAAGCAGTCTGTAGGATCCTTAGATAAATAACGTTATTAACTGACTTCATATTAAGTTTTTGTGCAGTGCCCTGAGACAACTTCTGTTGTGATTTTGCACTATATAAATAAACTGAATTGAATTAAAAGCTTAGAAACCAATTACTATCACCCACCACCAAAAATAAAGGTGTGCGCAAATGTTTGCCTTGTTAAGTAAAATAGCTCATGAACCATTTAATTAAACCTTTAGAACATAATAAAATTATTTACAAGCGTACACAATAAAAATAATTGTTGCAGATTCTGGAACTGTAATTGTATTGCACAACTGCTTTTCACCTATTCTCAGAATGCACATAGAAATTAGTCATTTTACCCATGTTCTAATTATGAATCAAGTTTATTACTTTATTTTAGTCTAATTTAGCATTTATTGTAGTTGTGTGAAAATAACTCACACTGTTATTCTGTGTATGACAATAAATTACTTGAATCTTATGGTTAATCACAGATTTGCACATCAACAGTGCTGAATAGACATAAATAAAACCAAAAAAAAGCTCTGGGTGGGTTCAAAATATATTAAATCTGTTTTCAAATATGGACAACAAACACTTTTATGCAAGCCTTGTGACTGTCTCGTGTGGAAATATGTGCCAGAAAGCTTCAATAAAGCTAAAAAAAAGTCACACCTTTACATAATTCAAGACGTCAAGAGTTTCAGATTCTGCCTGGACGTGTCAGACATTTCATTCACAAAACATGAGCTTTTTCAACAGTGAAAATCAATAAAGAATATATTAATAGTCGTCTCAATAATAAATCTGGATCATCTGGGCCAAGAAGGTGAAATGAGAAACAAAGATGAGGAACAGAACGACACGAGAGAAAGAGAGAAGTGGGAAAAGATGAGTATCATTTGAGGTTGCAGGTCTAGAAATAGCTTGTAAGTCTTGGGTATCAGCGACCCTCTGCTGACATACCAGCTGGTCAGGACTGACAGGGAACAGCTGGCTCAGATAGCTTGAACATGATGAAGGATCAAATAATAGACGGAAAGCAGGCAGGCGTGGTGCTGTCCACACATACATGCAAAACATCTAAGCATCAATTTTGTTAATCGAATGCAGTTAATAAACACTAAAAAAGTAACTAAAATAAGAGACAGGTGTTTAACAGCTAGAGCCTCATATTTCAGCTAGAAATCAACGCGATTAGCGTGTTAGCTAACGTTTAGCTAATGAACGTTACAGCCAAAACAAACGTTTAAATAAGCTTTTACCCGTTTTATATTCGACGTACCGCCTGGATAATGTATTTCTTCTCTTGGGTGTTTGTAAAAAGTCGATAAAAAGTGACGCTAGCCGAAGACTTAGCAACGTTAGCTTAACCTGCTAATGTGGTTAGCTTTGCGATTAAAACAAGAATCTGAATAGATTTAGAGCCAGTCGGAACATAAAGCTGCGGTCCATGAGACTTTACTCAACACACTGTATTGGATAATGAAAGGTAACGTTTACAGCCATAAAGATAGGCCGGTATTTACCTTATAATAAGCGCCGTTGGAGCCACGGACCTCCACCGCCAGTTCCTCCATATTGGACACGCAAAGGATGCCGGGACGACAGGTGTTCCTTAAGGAGTCCGGAGTCAAGTTATTGCTGTGAGGTTTCAAATCTGGTCACTTACATGTTGTTAGGTTACAAACTGAACAGAAATTATTCTTAGGTGTTTTAAGTTGAGTTTTACTCCTGCTGCATTTACATTACATCACTGTGAATGACAAGGATAGTTTCAACGTAAACTTTATGTAACCCTCTTTGTTTGTCTCAGGTCCAGTAGGATGACTTCACAGCAGACATGCTCAGGTTCACTGTATTCATGGTTAAATGGGGAGCTGACTGTGATTGTATAGTGGTATTTAACATAAATTTACATAATTAATCCACATAATCAATCTCATCTTTAACATAAATAACAATGAATATATATTTTTAGTACAGGCAATAAAATCACACATATAACATTCAACCTAGCAAGAGAAAATCAAGTTGGTGGTTAACATCAGTCCAGCAACTTCTGCCCCTATACATTAAATAAAATATAATAAATAACCCTATGAGCAATAGCTCCCAACGAGCAGTTAACAGTTGCAAAGTTAAACACAGCTAAAACGCACACCAATAATTATGATAACAGTTAAAAACATATAAAACATGGCAAAATTACACACGAAACCCTGTATATAATTAATTTTGTTTAAAACATATGCAAAAATATAATACTTGTAAAGAAAACACAGAGCTGATCCTAATACAAAGTTACAGACGGCAACAGAAAATGGGGACAAGTTGTCGTTTACTGGTTGCTATGGTAACCACCAACTGTCAAGAGCAGCATGACATAACTTATATACCAATAAACGTCAGGAGAAATAACTTTTTAACCAAACAAAATGAATCTGTAGAATTAAAAAAAAATAAAATAAAAAATAATTGACAAACTTTACATCTATAATAATGTAAAAAAATAAAACCCAGTTACATTTATAGAATTAGGTACAGTTCTAGAATTGTGCCTCTCAAGGTGGCTGCATGTTGGAGCAGCTCTGTTAATTTCATTCTGAGATTTTGTTTTTGGAAACTTTAACTCCTCTTTTTCTGGATGTAAATCACATTTTTTTGGATGATTGTTTCCTCTGGTATCAGATGCTGTGCAGCTGGAAGTATTTTTACTGAAACTTTTTTAGTTTTGGACATTTGTTATGATGCGTAACCATGGCAACAAGGCTGTTTTCTACAACAACAGCAACTGATTAACATCTCAAAAGCTCAAATAATATCTCAATGACAGCCCCAAATCTCAAATGAGTTGAAAAGGATGTTCTGTGGACGCATTCTCATCTACCTGCCAGCTGTGCTCGAGTGCCTGACCACTGAGATCCTGGAACTAGAAGGAAACACGGGTCATGCCAGCGGAAGGACAGGATCGTCCCTCAGCACCTACAGTTGTCTGTCCGCAGTGACGAGGAGCTCAGCAGAATGCTGGGAGGAGTGGCCATCGCTCTGGGAGGAGTTCTGCCCGGCATTCGGGAGGTTCTACAGCCCGGGGGAACCAAGAGACCAGCCGAGTCTGGGTGGACGGATCAGACGGCATCTGCAGCCAGTTTATTAGGATCCACTGTGGGATGGACCTTTACAAGAGATCCTTCCTGTCTACATCCATCAGTATCTATAACATCTCTTAATGAAATGAGGATAACGAGTTACAACAACAAATAATTTCCCTTTGGGATTAAT